GTCCGCGTGGAAATATAAAAAATAAAAGTGAGTAGCCTATGTGTTCTTCCAGACTATCCTCTATATTTATACCAAATTTCATCGAAATCCGTTCAGCTGTTAAGGGTACAAATTCTAACAAACATCCATCCATCCGTCTAAACCTTCGCATTTATAATATTAGCAGGACACTATCGGTTGATAAAAAACATTTAGGGCCTGTCCCACTAAATTGTAAACTGTCTGATAACAATCCAACGTGTAAAAGATGTGTTAGAAAAATCGGATTTTGTTCCCTTATCTGACAGTGACGCCATTTTTAAGCTATCTGAGCCTCTATCAGCTAGTAGTGGGACAGGCCCTAAAATCCTATCATCACAAGACGTGTAAAGATTTGCAATATAACTTACTAGCGTAGTCATTTTCTTGGTTCAATCCAAAGCAAGTCGGTTTCACTCCGTCCCAAGATCCTCCGATACACTTCCTTGTTTGGGAACCTGTCATTGCATATTTTCCAATATCGCTACATCTGAAATTATTTAGTTAAATAGAGTATAACTTATTTCTTAATCTAGAAAACTTCATCATGAATTATTGACATAACATTTTCATTGAAGTCAAATATCTATACTATTATGATAAAGCGTAAACACACAGTTCTTTGTTGCCTAAGATGTCAGCAATTACAGCATGATTTTGTACAATTCTTTTTTTAATAAAAAGCCCTACACTTACGTGATGCTTTCGGCTATATATTTTCACGCCATTAAACTTAGGGGGTAAATATTTTGATAAAAACCCCAATGAAAATGGGATGGGAAAGAGACCATAAGTTGCTGCCAACATCAAGAAAGAAAGATTACTAAGGTTTGCCATGTCATGTCATTTTGACATTTGCTATTGATAATTTGACAAATGTAAAAATTAAAATAAAGTTTTTTATAATTTCACGCGGATGAATCCGCACGCGAACAGCTAGATTCTAACACAACTGTTTAGTCTCGCTTTGATTCCTATGAGCTTATATGGAGGTGCACTACTCGATAGTTGTGCAACTAAACAGTTGAGGGTTGATAAACAACAGACAATCGCATAACAGTTGTGCGATAGTTCAATCAAAGGTATACGCTAGCTATTAGCTGGCAAATTCAACTGTTTTTAACAATTGGAATGTATCGTTGTTTGTATTTACTAGAGTCATTCATATTACCTGGAAATGATGATAGATCCAGGTGGGAAATCAACGGTCTCTGTGATTTCTAGATCATTAAAGAAGGACACGACGTGAGGCTCCTCGTTCCTGAACGTACAGCTGTTGTTACTTAGTAACTCCTCACTTTGTGCTTCTAATTCTTCTGTAAATGTTTGTTATTTTTTTATAATATAAGGTGGCAAAAGAGCAAGCGGCCTGGATCCACCGAAATGGAAAGTGACCGCTGCACATAAACATCTGCAATTGCATAAAGAGGACATTTGCCCTTCCTATGCGTCTTCTCCACCATCTAATTTACTTTTCATGACCATCCTTTCCTCTTAAGAAAAGGGTGGAAAGAGAAGGGGACTAAAATTAGGTCTCCGGCACTACACTAATCAGACTGTACGCGGAATTGCTTCCACTTGACGCGTGTTTTCTGTGTGGTCGTGGTATTACTGGGGGCGAGCCGGCCCATTCGTGCGAAGATGTTAAAGCGGGCTCTACCATTGCTATTTATTTATTCTTTTGCATAAAAGTTACAAAAACATATTTTTAAAAGCTAAGACAAGAATTACGCAAGGCTGGCCTTATTGCTGTAAGCAATTTCTTACAGGCAGCCCAGTAGAAAATCTTACTAATATTAAAAATTTAGATGGATGGATGTTTGTAAGAGTTTGTAGCCTAAACTACTAAACCGATTCCGATGAAATTTGGCACCGATGTAGAGGATAGTCTGGAAGACCACATAGGATATTTACGTTTTTTTTAATTCCACGCGGAACAGTCAGGGGCGAAAGCTAGTATATTATAATCATCTTTAATTACTATACTATTAATTGTAATTTAAATATACAGTGTTCCTTCAGATATTACAACTGGGAAAAAAATGATTTGAAGAACGATGGGTATTTGACTGAAGATTTTTTTATTTTAATTGCGTCAGCTAAATAGTAATGACAGATAGAAGCAATAGTTAGATTTCAAAAGAATCACAGTAGAAAATTTCACATCACTCAAATATGATATGCAGCAAAACTCAGTGGTCGTTGTAACTGAGAATAGTTTGTTCCGTGGACGTTGCCAGTGTATGGTCTACCAGCCTTGCTTTTGGTAAAAACCATGTTTTGTACTATGTAAAATGTTTATAAAACCTAGTAGAAATGGCTCGTAAGTAAATCTGTGAATATCTTACCACAGTTAAAGCTCTTCCCGACCCAAACTCCGTGTTCACAGATCAGCTTCCAAGTGGTCTTCTCACCCATGATAGAAGCAATACATCTAAATGTTATTTCAGTGCCATGCGGGTATCCTTCCATACCTAAAGAGCCATCAACTTCTGTCCCATCCCGGTATACAAGTGTACCTTGCACCCTAAACAATATTTGACGTATTTCAAAAGACACGTAATTCAAAAAAAAAAGATTCACGTATGAAATCCTAGAATAAAATAAATAGATATGGAAAGTGTCGCTCGTTTCCATTATCATGCAATAGACAAAAACTTTAAGAGCAAAATAACACAAGCTCAGCCAAGACAGAAACAAAAGTAAGCAAATATATAGCTGCTCAAGATTTTCTGGTAAATTGAATTTTAAAATACAATAAATTGTATACTAAGCCCTGCCTTCTGAGGATTTTCTATAGATCATTAACTGTAGAACAGAAATAAATTACATCAATGGAATGAATTTGACATCGAGTTATGATTATTAGATTGTTTAAACTTTCTTAAGATTGTAAACGAAATGGTTACACTCATCTAGTTCACCGATTAGTTTCAAGTCCAATGTAAGAGATGGACCGAGGTAAAATCCCACAACTAATCAAGAAATATATCCCAATCCCACTCGAAACCAATCGGTAACAGAATAGCCGTTTTTAAGTTAACAGTAGAAATGATGTTAATGATAATGTATCTAAAAGATTTAAATAAAGTACAAGTTAAGTAAAATTCCGAACCTATAAGGCTCTCACCAGGGCTTGGCATCCCTGACCGCATTGGTTCCCTTCAGTCTTCACAGTCAGCAAATAAGAAACGCAGACTCTTTGCAAAAATATTATTTTTTCTCTTGTCCATCCCATTGTTACTGGATGTATCAAGTATTAAGAAGCAAACTGCATTCATAACTGTACTAATATTAAATAGAACTTTGATATCCGGTCAAATTATGTCAAAATTCATGGGATGCAAACTTCAATAAGGTTAAAAAAGGATTTAGTCAACCATGATGGTATACTACGGGTAAATTTAGACAAATCTATGAATATCTTCGCAGATAAGTGCAGTTTAAAAGTGATATAAGAGTACAATTTGCTTCTTAAACATTTAAAATAATTAAATAAAGCAAATAAATCAATAAAACAACGCGTCAAAAGCATAACATCAATGATTGCTTGTGATCAATGAAAAATCAATTAATAATATACCCTCTCTTTTACATTTATACGCAGCAAATTAGAATTTAGTTTACGGATAAAGAAATTAATGGGATGTAAAGGAAAATAACAAAAATAAATCACATAAAAGCTACAATGAAAGCATGGTTACAGAGTAAATTATTTAGTGCACACCTTTGATAAAACTGTCGCACAATTATTTAATCTCGCTTTGATTCCTACGAGCTTATATCAAGTGTGCAACTAAACAGTTGAATTGCGAAACAATCGACAATCGCACAACGGTTGTGCGATAGTTTAATCAAATGTGCGCCCGCTTTTAAGATTCGAAATCTCATCTTTCTGCTGAAGATACAAGCAGACTTTTAGATGATATTTCGTATCTAACTGTAGGTTTTGACTGCAGCATTTGTGACTGATACTGTCCCTTACACTCTCTTTGGTTAAAAAGAGACATAAAATAACAGCAGTCAACACCTAACACAGAGTATCTAAATGTTTCGTATATAGATTCGTTCGTATATAGATTGATTACCTAGCCGGAGGTCCGCATTCCAACACAGGTTTCCCGTGTAGATCGGGTTCCAGTTCGGATATATCCTCTCGTACTATATCCGATCCGCTTTGGTATTCTGAAGTCGGTCTCGGTCGAGTCAGATTCGCTGCGAATAGCGAATACGAACCTTCTTTCATTATTATTATTATTCAACGAACTAAATACTCATTTAAATTTAATAGGACATGAGAATGGATAAGATACGAAGTGAGTATATTAGAGGAAGTTTGAGAGTAACCCCAGTGGTAAGGAGTAAACGGTTAGCATGGTATGGGCATGTTATGAGGAGAGATGAATCGCATGTTACAAGGAGAACGTTAGTTATGAGTGTGGAGGTACATCGGTAGAGGTAGACCTAGAAAGAGATGGATTGCGTGAAAGGTGACATGATCAAGAAGGGAGTGATGACTGAGATGACGTATGATAGAGTTATGTGGAGGACAAAAACCTGCTGCGCCGACCCTACGGGAGTAGGATAAGGATGATGATGATGATGATGAGGATATTACGAAGACATTTAAGATATATATACAGGAGGCAGTGAGTAAAAATTTTTAACCGGTACTTTCTCTGAAAGGTACTATATCAGCTGTCAAGTTTAGCCACCTCGTGTTTCTATTGACATGTAATGAAACATTTTACAAAATTATAATAAGCACTATCTTCTGTTATAAAATAAACTATACTAAACTTAATGAATATTTAAGATATTAACATGTGTTTTTGAGGATCTATTCATAGATGGCGTTAGTAATAATCACGTGAAAAATGTTTCAAGTGAATTAACTATGCCTTCACTACATATTTGAATATTTGCAAACAAATCATACTAATATTATAAATGCGAAAGTTTGGATAGATGGATGTTTGTTAGAGTTTGTAGCCTACACAGCTGAAGGGATTTCGATGAAATTTGGTATAGATGCAGAGGATAGTCTGGAAAAACACATAGGCTTTTGTTTTTTTATTCCACGCGGACATAGTCGCGGGCGAAAGCTAGTAAACAATAAGTAACTTACCTAGAGGTCTACAAAAATCATGAACAGTCGGCTGCAATCGACCTAAATGGCAGTTGAGAGTGGCTGGGGGGG